GACAGCCCTCTGTCAGATGTTGGGTTGGTGAAGATCTTTTCCCATTCTGTGGGTGGTCGTTTTGTCTTACTGACTGTGTCCTTTGCCTTACAAATCATCTCAGTTTCAGGAGGTCCCACTTATTAATCGCAGAGCCCAGTGTCTGTGATGTTCAGGAATCAGTCTCCTGCGCCAATTTGTTCAAGGGTAATTCCCACTTTCTCTTCTAGAAGATTCAGTGTGGCTGGATTTATGGAGAGATCTTTGATCCATTTGTACTTAAGTTTCATGCATGGTGACAGGTATGGATCTGTCTATCTGCAGTCTTCTGCATGTACGAATCCAATTGTGCCAGCACCATTTGTTGAAGATGCTATCTTTTTTCCATTGTATATATTTAGCATCTTTGTCAAAAATAAGGTGTTCATAGGGATGTGGATTAATATCAGGGTTTTCAATTTGATTCCATTGGTCTATCTGTCTATTTTTGTGCCAATACCAAGCTGTTTTCAGAACTATGGCTCTCTAGTAGAGCTTGAAGTCGGGGATGGTGATGACTCCAGAAGATCCTTTATTGTAAAGAGCTGTTTTGGCTATCCTGTGTTTTTTTTGTTTTTCCATATAAAGTTGAGTATAGTTCTTTCAAGGTCTGTGAGGAACTGTGTTGGGATTTTTATAGGGATTTCGTTGAATCTGTAGATTCTGTAAACAGTGAAAGTTTAACTTCTTCCTTTATAATTTGTATCCCTTTGGTTTCCTTGTCTTGTCTTATTGCTCTAGCTAGAACTTCAAGTACAATATTGACGAGATATGGGAAGAGTGAACAGCCTTGTATTGTTCCTGATTTTAGAGGAATCACTTTGAGTTTCTCTACATTCAGTTTGATGTTGGCTATTGGTTTGGTGTTTATTACTTTTATCATGTTTAGATATGTTCCTGTTATTCCTGTTCTCTCCAAGATCTTTATCATGAAGGGATGTGTAAGGGGTCCTGGGCCCTAAACTATGGGGTTTTTTTAACTATGGGCTTTAGCCCATCTTTGTAAGTCTCTAATGACCTTTAAAGTTTGCAGCTTAAAGCCAGCTCTGTGAGCCTCCTGTAACCTGTAATTAGACACAATTTGGCCAAGTGGGACTGCTAACGACTGCTGTTCCAAGAAAAGGAATGGGGCCTTTCTGCCTGCTGTTTCGAAGATATCGCAAGAATGTCCCAGCCCAGGCAAATACCAGACATTCCTTCCTGCTATTCCGCCCCGCTTGCCTAACTTCCTCATTGCAGGGCTATATAAGCCCACTCTGAGCCCCAATAAATCGAGACCTTGACATTGCATAGATGGACTCTGGTCCCCTCTTTTGCGCCGCTTGGTCTCTTTCCTTTCTGTTGCCCATGACTCTTTCAGGCAGCCCCTTCGGAACCCTGAATGACTGACTGGACTCACGGGATGGGTCAAGTGGCACTGGAATAGGGGACCCAAAGTACCCTTAAGCTGTTGGACGGCGGAAAGACAGCCCAGGACAAAGAGGATCCTGCAGACAGCCAGACTCGAGCTCTCTCCAGGTGGAGGGAAGGTACCAATCATTGCCGTCCCAATGCCATGGGCCATGCTATGGGTAAAGAATTGAAATTCATAACAGAAGTTAAGGTAGCCCGCAGGGAGAAAGGAGTAAGAGTTAAAAAGAAAGATAAAAAGGAGAAAGACATAAAAAGGAGAAGATAAAAAGAAATAAGAGTCAAACAGTAAGATTTAGTTCATTTTTTTTCTGTTTTATTGATAAAGCTTGTCTATGGTTGATTTTAACGGGGCCAGACATAGCTCCCCAGACCTGGAAAAAGGTTGGGAGAGTTACTTCACCCACAGCGGGGGACTTGCAAGCTGCCCACAGCAAGAAATGCCAGCAGCATTTCTTAGAGGTGGTCAAGCTTGGGGGCTGCAACTTACAGCCTTGGGAGATGCCGTCACGGTTGATGGCTAATTAATATATATAAATGCTATTGAAACAGCCAGACTGTTTTTGAGACTTATAGAAAAGAAAAGGCAACATATTTAAGCTTAGAAATGTTCAAATTTTGGATGCTCATATTTCAATGATTGACTATAAGCTACTATGTTAGAAATTTCAATTAGGGATTTTTCTTTTCTACAAACTGATCATAACCTAGGCAAAAGGAAAAATGTGAGACGTACGCAAGTTATGAATGAACGGTGTGGCCACACCTGGATGCATGGTGTGATTGTGAATTTATGAATGTGGATGAATGGAAACACCTAAATTGCCTTGGATATGATTAGAGATATTTATATTGCCTCGGATATAGTTTTAAAATATCAAAATCACTTTAATATGGTCAAAAAGAGCA